ACTCAGGAGCAACTTCCTTTTATTTATCTCCAGAACATTTCGTGGGTTGATCGGCGAATAGGTTGGATGATTTAATTTTTAATTTGTGGATGCATTACTCATGCGTTCAAAATCATTTTTCTTTCCCCAATTCCAGTAAAAATTTATGAAATTATTTGTTGGCATTCCTTCATCTCATTTTCAGGTATGCTCGGAAGCTTTCATTGGAATTCAAGTTGGATGCTGGATCGGAAATGTCCTTGCCGCAGAATAGTCTGAGTCTGTTGTTCACACATTATGACTGGAGTAATCTGGAGATGCTGGATGTTTCTGCGTTGGAAACCAACGAAGACGCGTGGATAAGTTTTTTGAAAAAGAATGGAAAAGCACTCACGAATCTGAAGACCCTGTCAGTGCGTGGTTTTACTCCTGGAAACAGCCTACTGCATTTTGCCAAATTCGGAATGATTCGATTTCCGAGTTGTGAGGAGGTTACCCTGAGGTGTTCTATACAGAGATGATTCACGCCGTGGATTTGAGACAGATTTTTCCAAGGCCCGTATATTTTTAGCTTATTTATTTATTTTTCTTGATTAATATGAGTCGATCAATTTTTTTTTTAGAATGAAGAAACTGCATCTTGGCCATGCAGATGTCTATGAACTTGCGAAGGCAATGTACAATACTTCTTATGAGAAACCAATGATGAAACAGTTCCCTGACTGCCTCGGCTCAGGTGTGCTTTTGAGCCTCCATGCCTACGATTTGCCTGTACAATTGGATGCCAAAGGTTGGCGACTGGCTCAAAAAATGGGAATGTTCAAAAACCTTGAATCTCTGAGCTTGAATGGAGAGCATTTCGATAACTTGCCATCTGTCCAAGAAGGCGACATTTTCTTCCCAAAGGTGACTCATTAAAAGATCTAATTTCCTTCCGGGCGTGAGAAATTTCATGCTTCTACGGATGACTTAAATTCTGACCTAGAATTAAAAATGCTGTTCGTGTGCAAATCGTTTGAATTTGATTAATTAAAATATTTTATTTTAGATCAAGATTAATCTGGTCAAACGCCGAAATTGATACCTGGACTCAATTGACATGCGCTGACCTAGAATTAAAAATGCTGTTCGTGTGCAAATCGTTTGAATTTGATTAATTAAAATATTTTATTTTAGATCAAGATTAATCTGGTCAAACGCCGAAATTGATACCTGGACTCAATTGACATGCGCGCGATTAAATTTCTTGCATGTCCTATAGTCACCCGTCTGATGGTATCCGTGAAGAAAATGTGAGATATTCTCTAATTTTATATATGCATGCAGTTGAAAGAATTGTGGCTGGAAGATGCATCACCGATGAAAGCAGCTCATCATTTATTATCGATGCCGTCATTGGAAAAGCTGTGGATTAGGAATGTTCGGAAGCAATTGCGTGTAGAACCTGGACCGCGAGTACTTTCTGCCTTCAATGAAAGCCCCAAGGACTGGCTTGTAAAGCTGAGATTCGTTGCTGCTGACGTGTGGGAGACGTTGATGCCGTATTCAAAAATGATAAATCTTGAATGCGTAGCATTAGTTTTCCAACACAAAGCTGTTTTGAAAAGTCCCGGGAAAGTTTTGAAGCGCTCAGTTGCTGTCCCAAACTCCGTGGATTGATTTTGAGTGTCCCTGATGATCTTCAGTTGAGAGTTCTTGGAGAAATGTCTCAGCCGTTGGAGTTAATTGCATTTCCAGGGACCAGCTTTCGCAGCGCAATGTCCGCGTTGCATTTTCTGAAAGGAAGTCAAAATTCAGTCGAGGATTTGTGGATTCAAGTTCGTAGCTCGAAGGTAATTAAGAGCTTATTATGCGGGTTTTTGTGGATTTTTATGATGCCAGATCGATTTCCGTGAACATATGCATTATACATAGACGTGAGTTCAATAATGTAGTTAAATTGTGCTCCTGCTAAGGTCTAAATATTTCAGGGTTTTTATTATCTAGGATTATTGTTGCTGAAGTCGTTTTCAGCTCTTTTTCCTGAGACACCCGACGAAACTACAGAATTTGGTCTTGCGAAGTTCGTTGTGGGATTTTTTGCTTTTTTAAAGCTGCAAAAGCATGAAATGTGTAGATTAAATGGAGAAAAAGGATGGTTTTATTCATAAAAGGTCGCTAAATAATACGTCCCTTCTGAAGCTGTAAATTCTTCTGTGTGAAATATTTGCTGATCCCTTAGCTTCAAGCGTAAAATTTTAATTCATGATTTTTCACGGGAATGAAGAAAAAAATTGAATTTTTTCTTCTGAGGATTGAGGAATTTAGTCATAAGTGTATATCACTTGTTTTTAATGGTTCTATAGGAATTTCTAAGTAAATTGTGAGTAAGAAAGCAAGTTCAAGTTAATCCTCGGGCAAACAAACATTTCATGTGATTTGATGAAGTAAATATTCGAGTGAGATTCAGAGATTTTATTGCAAAAGGCAGGATTCTTATTTATACCAGCATTAACATGCAATTTGATTATATTACTGATCTGAATTCATCTCCTGATTTCCTCCATATTTGACTCCCGCGCAGGAACTAACCGAAGTTCTCCGAACTCTGAAGACCTTCAAGCGACTCAAGAATGTTCTGTTGTTGTTGGATGAGCCATTCGATGGAAGCAGAAAGACTTCGCGTGAACAAGAATGTTTCCTGGCAACTATGCAAGCATTTCATCTGCCTGGTTGTGGCTTGAAACAAGCCACTCTTCTTTTCGAGTTTGGTCAGGGTCTAGGTTACTATGTCGCAACTTACAGCGTGGAATGGCAGAGGAAAGTGGAGTTTTCGTGCGGATGCGTCACGAGATTTCACTCGGAATGGTTGAAGCATGTGCCGAGCAAGTCGACATGGGGCGAACTTTCCGTATTCCAGGCGATTCTAACTTTTTCACGGACGACGTTCAATTTATTGATTGAATTCGGGTAAATTTGTTCAAGTTTTCTTTTTTTTTCCATGGCCTGCTTGATTCGATTTCATGTAATTCCGTTGAAGAAGCTGAACGTCCTGTCCATTTTTTGTTCCCACAATAAGGGCGTGAAGTTTTCAATTTTTTTTACTCGTGCAGATAATTTTGAATGTAGATTTGCGAGAAATGTACGTTGGGAATTTTTTCAAGCATCCGTGCAAGTTATTTTTTGCGTCGATTGCGCTCAGTAAGTTTTGCAAAAAGCTGTGTTTTCCGCTTCGACTTCCTAAGGATTGGGCATCATTTCTGATCGAAAATAATTTCATGCTCTTATTTCGCAGGTCAACGATTTCGCGTTCGAATCTCATTAGTGACTCATCCTCGGTCTTATAAATACGTACTGCTGTTCAAGGTGAACACTTCTCTTCTGCAGTCATATGCTGTAGCTCGAAAACGACCGGAACAGCGTTTCCCGGGAATTACTTGTTCCAAGGCGGAAACAATCCGTTTTTGAAGGCCAACGCATGAGCTTCGCCTCAAAAAATGTTTACTGTGCATGATTACTTCAGTGGTTGAAGTTTCAGCATATTCAAAGGGACTTTTCCTGGTAATTCCGATTTAGGCCATGGAAAGGGAGAGACGGGATTTGGAGGAAGTGGTTCCAAAGTTCATTCACGGAATTGGGGATTATGACAGGAAATGAGAATAGGATTTTGGAATAGAGTATCTCATCAACAGATCAAAATTAATTGCTGTACAATATCGTTGAACAGAGTGTTCATATTTTTTCTCCATATCTACTCCAAAGGAGTTGAGCAGTCTTCCGTTGGATGTCGGCAGAGATGGAAGTCAAGAGTTCATTGTTTAAATCGTTGGTTATATTTCGTGCGAGAGATCATTCAAGATGAAATGAATCTATAACATGAACAAATACTGGGCCGGATTTTTTAATGAATCAAGGTCCTTTCGAATTTTCTTGAACGTCGAAGCTTTCTCGGACGTCACACGTTCTGGAGAGCGCATCCCTTTATAGAACCGTTTCTCATATCGAAGAATTTCCTGCTCATATGCAGTAGAGCAAAAGTCCATGCCTTTTTCTGCATTATTAAATGCAGGATAGATTAAATACGGAGCTCTTCGGTGTGAGTTGCAGTCGTGTTGATCTGCATCAGAAATCGTGGAATGCCCTAGGAGGAAATCCAAAGCAGAATGCAACTGGATAGATCTGGTCTGATGTGCATTTCTTTGTGCTGTGCCGATCCGTATTATTCGGGGAAAAGTTCTCTGTTTTGTTTCATCAGGCTTGCAGTGCTTTGGAATTACGGTTCAAACTTGATGTGATTTCTTGTCGACCGCAGTTTTGCGAGAGAAAAGATTTTCAACTTCTTCATCATCCCGACATGAGTGGATCAAGAGACGCATATCTAGTGAAGCTAAATTTCGGTCTCGAAGACCTTTCATACTTGAAATTAGAAGGAAGTGTTTTTGTCGACGGGAGTTCTGAAGAATGCGAAGTGCGGAGGAAGAGACCTAGCATTGAGTGCTACGTCGTAGATGAACAATCTGGTGAAGATCTTGCTGTCCGCAGTGATATAAAGCGGATCCCCCACTTGCGTGAGTGGCTCAAATGCTATGTGCTGTATGTCCTTCCTGTTTCAATTTCTGAAATTCTGTCTCAGATTTTCACAAATTGGTTGATGGGATTAAAATCGGATCTGCTTGTGAGAAGAGTTCTTGCTTGAAGAAGCTCTTCTCTATTCGAGACGATGAATCGACGAATGGAGNCTGCATCATTAAATACAGGATAGATTAAATACAGAGCTCTTCGGTGTGAGTTGCAGTCGTGTTGATCTGCATCAGAAATCGTGGAATGCCCTAGGAGGAAATCCAAAGCAGAATGCAACTGGATAGATCTGGTCTGATGTGCATTTCTTTGTGCTGTGCCGATCCGTATTATTCGGGGAAAAGTTCTCTGTTTTGTTTCATCAGGCGTGCAGTGCTTTGGAATTACGGTTCAAACTTGATGTGATTTCTTGTCGACCGCAGTTTTGCGTGAGAAAAGATTTTCAACTTCTTCATCATCTCGACATGAGTGGATCAAGAGACGCATATCTAGTGAAGCTAAATTTCGGCCTCGAAGACCTTTCGTACTTGAAATTAGAAGGAAGTGTTTTTGTCGACGGGAGTTCTGAAGAATGCGAGGTGCGGAGGAAGAGACCTAGCATTGAGTGCTACGTCGTAGATGAACAATCTGGTGAAGATCTTGCTGTCCGCAATGATATAAAGCGGATCCCCCACTTGCGTGAGTGGCTCAAATGCTATGTGCTGTATGTCCCTTCTGTTTTAATTTCTGAAATTCTGTCTCAGATTTTCACAAATTGGTTGATGGGATTAAAATCGGATCTGCTTGTGAGAAGAGTTCTTGCTTGAAGAAGCTCTTCTCTATTCGAGACGATGAATCGACGAATGGAGGCTTCGTTTTGACCAAGGAGGAAACGCATTTACGGCGCTTCTCGCGTGTAAACTTATTCATCAACGAGGAAAACCTTTCTCTCAAAGGGAAAGCCGATTTCACACTGAAGCACGGCGACATAATTGAGGGCTACAATTCAGTTTGTGGAGGTGAAGTTTCTCTTAGCTCTGTTATACAAAAGTTGGACTTCGTTTTTTTTTGTACTACAGTATTTTCAAAGCGAGTTTCTACTCCGAGACTTCTTCGTACAATAATCTTCGGCGAAAAATACAAAACTGAAAATTAGTGAAGACCAAGAGGGAAATTTAGGCGGCCTTTGTAAATTTAAGAAAGGTTTTTTTTTAAATATCATAATTTGGACCGTATTCAACAATAATGGGTCATGTTGGTTTGCTGAAGTTTTTTCGAACGAGGTGAATTGCTGCCGAATTCCATGTTGGAGGTTTTTTTTCAATTTAGAGGCATCAATGACGTTGATCTAAACCTATACATCATACTTTTTGTGATGTCATACATCCGTGAATCATGCGTTAAGCCTCGGTCTCAACGTAATTTTTTTTTAATGTTGATACTGTACTAGAAAACAGGTGAAGTATTTCAATTGCTGTTGTCGTATACCGTATTCCTTCACCTGATCTTCGAAATGCCTCGATCGGAAACCCTGTTTTTCTGGATAAATATCTTGAACTTTTTTGAGAACCCGAAATATTTACCGAGAAAAGAAAAACAGTGGATGGAGAAATTGTATGGTTGTGGACGTTGATGGAGAAAATGATGGTGAATCTGTGGCGGTGATTTCATTCCTAATTTGAAACCCTCACGCGATCATAAAATAGATCTGAAGATTGGAGTCAAATTCGGAACCGCAGTATAGTACCGAGAGTAAATTTTTGATTAACTGAAAACAATATGATGATGATTGAATTTGAAAATTTGTGCCAGGATGATTAATTTTGAAGATTTTTTGCAGTTTGCTTCAAGATCATGTTTCTCCAGTGTGATGAACATCACGTGAGACAACCAGCACAGAATTCACCTCTACTCTCCTGTCCGTGGCCGGTCCTGAAGAAAATTTTTTCATGTTTCACTCCATTTGAAATTATGGAAAATATTGTTCCGGTGTGTCGAAAATTTTTTGAATTGATCAGAGCCGGAGATATTTGGAATAATCTCGACTTTCGTGTCATTCATGGCACCTCATTTGTGCCATTCGGACGTCTGGATGACTTCTGCAAAGTTTTTTCTAACGGGTAAGTGACCTCCACGAATATTCTACAGTCAATATAGTAATTAAAATGTGAACGAGTCTAAAATGCATTTAAGCGCAGGAATATTCAAAGGCCTTTTTTTCGGAGTGATTTTTAATGGAAAAGCATTAGCGCAGAGAAATACATTCATTGATTTTTGACCTTGAACAGCATCTTCGTCTTATTATTGCAAATGATGCACTGATTTAGCATGTTTATCAAAACTGAATCATCAAGTTTCTTCGAACTGAGTGTGTTCCGCATTTAAAGAATGCGTCGATTTCAAATAATCTCCTGTCATTCGAAATTTCATCAGACGTGTTCGTCAGCTCACGCTGGACTTTAGGGTTCAAGATGGACTGGAAGGATTTGTTCCTCGGGACAGCTTGAGTTCCGTTTTCAAGAATTTTGATTGGCAGAATTTGAAGGTGTTGCAGATAATTGCATTGGAGGCCAATGATGATGCCTTCTATAAATTCCTTGTGGAAAATGGGAAAGTGCTTTCCCAGTTGGAAACGCTGCTGATTCGTGATGACCTCACAGGGAACTCGTTTCTGCGTGTGGCTGCGACTGGAAAACTTGTGCTTCCTGCTTGTCAGAAAGTTGCCCTAAGATGCTTGTTCAAGATACTGCCAACTATTGATATGAGACTGGTTTTCCCCAGGTTGGTTCTGAATTTTAATACAGTTGAACCTCTCTAAGTCAAACTTCAAGGGTCCAGCCAAAAAATTTTACTTGGGGTTTTAATTTAGCTACTGCATGTACAATATAAGGCACCTTTGTTCTGGAAAACGCAGAAAAATGCCCAAAATTGTAAATTGTGATATTCAGGGGCTTGAAATGCTTCTTAAATGAGTTGAAAGGATGCTGAACTTGGAAGTTGGGGTTCATTTGCCCAATTAAGTTTTCCACTTCCTTTTAAAACACATCAATTTCTGTTTTCATTGCTTTTTTCTCTCTTGCGTCTAGAAAATAATAGCCAACAGGCCACCACAGAAAATTTGAATTTGCGGGGAAAAGTCTATAATTTAGGGAGGTTTCTAATGCATTAATTCTAAGAGGATTCAGATGAGGACCTGAAAGCTATTGACTTGGGGAGTATTTAACTGAGGGATGTTTGATTTATCAAGGTTCAACTGTACACTAATGGGTCTGTTAAATACCAATGAATAATGCCCAAGAAATAAACAACTTATACACAATAAAAAAACTCAAATTCATTCGCCAGTTTTGGTGCTGTGAGTACCAAAATTCAATTTATGAATGCTCCTCTGTAGTTGGAAAAATCTCAAATTTTCCAATGAGATTATTAAGTTTGTGCACGAGGCCCTGAGAAAACTATAATGCCTAGTATTTTTTTGGTTTCAGATTGGAAGAACTCCATCTGATTCACACTGAATTTCCTGCATCAACAATTTATGGACGGCTTCTCAACATGTCTCTTGCAACTCCTACCATCCAGGAGTTTCTTGCACCTCTTGGCTCTGAAGTGCTCTCAATCTTGCATGGTTATCATTTGCCAGCAAAAATGGATAAGAATGGTTGGGTCCTGGCTCAGCAGAAGGGTACTTTTATGAACCTTGAGTCCCTGGGCATGCATGGGGACTTTTTTGAACATGTGCCTGCAGCTGACAAAAATCGTCCCATTTTTCCGAAGGTAAGGGTCTCTATTTAATTGCTGTCAGATTGTTGTGGATATACAGTATTTACTCCAGTTCCATATGCACCTTTCAGCAGAAATTGATGGTATAAAGTACCGTGTGTTGGGTACTCAGGTATACATTTTTGGTGGGAAAATTTGGGCTATCAGTTCAAATCCCTATTGAAAAAATGAATAAAGATGAAGTGTGTAGTGCCAAGTTTCCTTTTCCCATTAGAATTAATGGTAAAAGAAATTATCATTTAAGCTATTGGGACTCCAGATGACAGAAATAAAAGCAAAAATATGCATCTGATTGAGGAAGTCATGAAATGTGAGCACAGTTCAACTGGTATTGTAGATATAAATAAACAGCTAAGACACACAATTAATGCAGAAAAATGTAGACCTACACAAAATCCTCATGATTTCTGATTCTTTTCATTTTTTCACTAAGAAAAACTTGGGAGCGGATCATATATGAGGATAATTTTTTGGATGATTTTATCCAAAAAAAAAAAACAGGGGTGCAAGTCTTATCCCAAGGCGTCTGGGAATCAAGCAATAAATACCATGTTTCTTGGAGTACATTTGTTCAAATGCATTTGGTAAAACTTAAATTTGAATTCAGTGTGATTTCGTGACAAATTCATTTGAGACCATTGCCCTCCCTAACTCAAAATTTGTCTGCTCAAACCTCAATCCTGTGTTGGTGAAATTTTCCAAGGACTTTGTATTGGTAATCTGGGAAAACATTTTAGAATGCCTAACAGAAAACCAAGAAAGCAGATACAAATTATTTTTGTACTGCAAAATTTTTTAAAGAAGGGATTAGGCAACTTTTCCAGTTATAAGATCTATGAATAATTAACATTCGTCTCCATCAAGCCAAATAACGAATTTCCTTGATGAACCTTCAACAATAATGTCCAAGTGCTTTGCTAAGAAAAATCCCCAAGGTTTTTATGGTCACTTTGAATCCGAATCGTGGCTTAAATGTATTGTATCATACCTTTTTCACATTATTTGGTGCAAGTGATGACCCCAGCACAATTTTGCATATCCTCTTTTTGCCATTTCTTGTAAGGAGTGAGTTTGCAGTTTTTCTCAGGATAAAATGTTAATCCTTGAAGCTTGAAATATTTTTCAATTAAGAAAAATATTTTTGGCGTGGAATTTGTTCAGAATGTATTTCTATCTTAGGAAAAAAAGATACAGGTTGAAATAAAACATGCTTTAACTTGAAATTTGATTATTCCTTTATCCATGAAATGGAGAGGGTGATATTTAATTGAACACGTGCTAACTTTTTAATTTCATCATGCATATTGATTTACAGTGAGGCCCCCAAATGTGGACATAATTGGTGCATCAAGAGTGTCCTCAAGTCAAAATGTCCCCAAGTCAAGTCAATATTTGTTTGCCACTTGAATTTGATTCAGTGAATTTCTTTCAACTCCATAAGAACATTTGGAGCATTGAATAGTGTACCTTGTTACAGTACATTGAAATGTTGGCATCTGAAAAAATAACATTCAAGTCACAAAGAGAGAAGGAAGTCCCTTTAACATATAAGTAATTTTTTCAATTAGCTGAATGGATTGGAAAATGACGGGAGAAATGCCAGAAAAATTGTCTTGCATAGATCTTATGGTTGTAAATATATGCCCACAATTAAGCCTAATGAAAGTCAATTTTCCAGAAACTTATTGGCCATTTTAGCATGCAATGTCCACATGTTGAGTCAGTGTCTGCATGTCAGGGTGTCTTCATGTGGAGGTATCACTAACTTTGAATATTGTGATACATGAAATACATAAACCGTTCGAGTAATTTTCTCTTCTTTTGAATTTATGCAGTTGAGATCGCTGTGGCTGAAAGACGTCTCTCTCATAAAAATATTCCATCATTTACTGCTGCAAACGTCGCTTGAAAACCTGTGGATCAGAAATTATCGTTCTCAGGCAACTGAATCCAATCGACGAATTTGCCAGGACTTCCTTGACAGTCCCAAAGAATGGGTGAAGAATTTGAAATACGTTTCAGCTGATCTCTGGGAGACATACATTCCCTACGAAAACCTCCACCACCTGGAATGCGTCGCTTTATTTTTTCGATGCAAAGCCGCGGTAAAATTTGCAAAGAGAGTCTTTGAAAAGCTTCGCAGCTGTTCCAAGCTGCAAGGATTGATTCTTCGTGTACGGGATGATCTTCAGCTGCGATCCCTTAACCCATTGCAGCAAAATTTGGAGTTTGCTGTATTTACGGGTACCAATCGTCGCAGTGCAATGGCTGCGCTAGATTTCATCCGACGGAGTCAAAATTCGTTGAAGGATCTTTGGATTCAAATGGATCACACAGAGGTGAAAGTTTAAGGATAAAAAGCTTCACAAGTGCATTCTGTACACTGACAGTATTTTGGGTTTAATAAAATTCTGTCAAAATTCAAGAGGAATCCGAATCGTTGTTTCCTGGCCATGATAAAATTTCAACGACAAACCTCAATAATTTGTGGATTTCCTAATAAGCTGTGATATGTGATTCAGATTGATTTTGAAGAAGTAGGCTTAATGTTCAACCATTTCAAGATATTGAAAATTAATAACTCTTCTTGACTATACGAGAGGGGAAATTTACATTTCTCGGAAAAAAATTGTTGCTCGAAATTTTCTCTGTACAGTACTGTATTGGTCTTCCTGTACACGGGAATCCAGCACGGGAAATTTCATTTTCTTGATTACGAATTTCACGCAGGATCTGGAAAAACTGGTCCCAGCCTTGAATGCTTTCAAGCGACTGAGGAACGTCGTGTTTGTGCTGAAAAACTCATTTGGCAGAGGCAGAATTGGCGTGCTTGACCAAGGTTGGTTAGAGGTTGCATTGAATAAACGGGTTGATCCGGAAGGTGCTTTGAAGCAAGCGACGCTGTTTCTTCCGTCGTCATCAGTGGATTCAGGATCTGATTACTCATCTTACACCTACAACCCTGCGATAATGGAAAAGGCTGATTTTTCGTTGGAATTCGTTACCCGATTTTATTTCCAATGGCTGAAGTTTATACCAGACAAGAAAGAACTCGGTCAGCTTTGGATATTAGAAGTTATTGCCGCCATCTTTCGTTGACGTCATTTGAACGGTTCGTCGATTCCTAGCGTTTTTCGAATGGCCTTTTTTAAATTTGCGTTATGCTGTACCGCATTCCCACATCGAATATTTCGCCTTCAAAGAAAAAATCGTGAGAAACTATGTTGTTCGTTGTTTACCTGTACGTATTTGCAACGTTTCGTGAAAAATATTTTCGATAATCTAATGAAATAAATCGAGATAACTTTGTTGGAAATTACAGTAGGTTCGAAGCAATGAAAGCCTTCAGACGATTCGTCTTCCAGACATCCAGAAATTTTTAAATCATCTCGACTTCCGGAAATTTTTGAAAATGCACTGATGGGTGAAAAATCCTGACAAATGATTGAAGTTGTATATATATTGGCTCAGTTGAGATAGAGCCTTGAAAGATTATATGTCATAAACTATCACATAAAGCAGTGTTCCCCAACCCATGGTCTGCAGGTTCAGGCAGATGCTTGGGTAGTGTGAAATTCTTCGCCCGCGACAGGATTAGTTCTTACTGTAATTGGAAGTGCAGTACGGGTACAGTATTTCCCTAAGCTAAGTATATGTTCGAAAGAAAAATAAAACTCACTCAACTTGCACAGAACAAGCAGATTTGTTTCATATTAACGGCGATCCGGATGCTTACTATGTTGCAACGTCCAGCGTGGAATGGCAGAGGAAAGTGCGAAGTTTTCGTGCGGATGCGTCACGAGATTTCACTCGGAATGGTTGAAGCATGTGCCGAGCAAGTCGACATGGGGCGAACTTTCCGTATTTCAGGCGATTCTAACCCTTTTTCGCGGTCGACGTTCGATTTATTGATTGAATCTGAGTGAAGTTGTTCAAGTTTTCGTTTATTTACATGGCCTGCTTGATTTGATTCCACATAATTTCGTTGACAAAGTCTAGCGTTTTGTCTATTATTTGTTCTCACGTCGGTGCGTGAGGCTCTCCATTTTTCACTAGTGTAGATGCAGTAATTTTGAATGTAGGTTTGTGAGAAATGCACGTTGGGAATTCTTTCAAGCATCCGTCGAAATTATTTTTGTGTCCATTGTACGATTGCGCTCATAAGTTTTGCAGAGAAGCCGTCTTTTCAGTTCCGACTCATGTTCCCGATTTCCTGTAGAGATTGGTAAATCACTAATCGACAAGTTCATGCTCTACTTCGCAGGTTGACGATTTCGCGTTGGATTCTCACTTTCATTCGTGACTTCTGTGATTCCTCATCGGTTTACCAAGTTCGAGTGAAAGATTCGTCGGTATTGTCATATCTCGGAAACGACCGCGGAATATAGCTTCCGGACATTCTATGTTTCGAGGACAGAAAAATCCTTCGCTCAAGAATGTTTACATCAAATGAAGTCAAACTGGAGGAAGGCTTTTTCCCAGTAACTCCGATTCAGGCCTGCGGAAGCAATTCTAACGAATTCGGAGGAAGTGGCTTGGAAGTCCCTTCTCATAGGAATGGATGAACTAGAGAGGAAATGAGAAAAGGTTCCCGGAAGAGATTGTTGACAAACCGAAACTAGTAACTTAACAATACTGTATTGTACTCATTTGACTGAGTGATCATTATGCTTCTCCATAGCTACAGGCGAAGTGGTGAGCAGTCGTCCGTTGGATATCAGCGGTGTTGGAAGTCTTGAGTTGCCGGATTTAATTGACTAATATTTTTGTGTATGCGAGCTTCGAGCGAAGATACGGTTGACATGAACGACTATACTGGGCCGGGTTTTTTTTTTCTCTCTTGAAATGATGAGGTCCTTGTCTTGAATCTCTAGCCTTTCTCGTGCATTTCGCACGCTCTTGGAAGCTTATTCCTTGAAGCTTTTCTCTCATATCCAAGATGCTTATTCGAAGATTACAGTATTACTATAGATCCCATACGTGCTACGTGTTCACCTGCTGTGTATTGCTCCTTTCAAGGGTTACATTGAAGTATTTTCTGAATCATTCTTTCAAGGCTTCGGAATCACGTATCAAACCGGATGTGAGTCCACCAGAATTTTGTGTGAAACAAGATTACCTTATTTATTCCACATCCTCGTTTCGACATGATGAGTGCTGCATATTTAATGAGGCTAGATTTCGGTCTTAGAGACCTTTCATACTTGAAATTAGAAATAAGTGACTCAGCTGAAGGTAGTCCAGAGCAATGGGAGATGATGCGGAAAAATAAAACCAGCGTTGAGTGCTACCTAGATAAACTAGAAGATCGTGCTCACGATGTCGACCGGATCCCTTTCCGTGAGTGGTTCATACGAGTATATGTGTGCTTTTTGTCCTTGCAGCTGTATGTCGTAATTTCCGTCATTCTCTCACAGATTTCCACAGATCTGTAGATGGAATTAAAATTGGATCTCCTTGTGGAAGGAGCTCTTGGTTGAAGAAGGTATTCACCATTCGAGACGATGCGAATGGAGCTTTCGTGTTGACCACGGAGGAAAAGCCGTTTCCGCGCCTGTTCTCGAATGTTGTGGTATTCATCAACCAGAAACGACTTTGTTTCGATCGGAAAACCGATTTCACTCTGAAACACGGCGACGTCATTGAAAGCTTCAATGTATTTACAGGTGAAGTTTCTCTTAGCCTTTGTGTACCGAAATTTGAAGTTCAATAATTATTTGAAAGCGAATTTGTGCTTTGAGGCTCCTTCATAAAGTACAGGTGATCCTCTGCGAAAGATATACCAATTGTGGACGAAAATGAAAATTCAGGCGGCCCTTGAATGCCTTGATGCAGAAATATTTCCGAGACACTGTATCATAATTTCTGAATAACAGTGATAAACGAGAATCCGTAATGTTGGGTTGCAGAAGTTGTTTCGGACGAAGAAAGTGCTTCTGAATTGTATGTCGTTTTTTTTTCTCTTTCAAATCACATGCATCATTAAAATTGATGAATATTGTACTTCAGAGTACATCATGGGAAGTCATCTGGGATTCATGTGCGAAATCTACATTGGTCTCAACATTTGCTTTTGTGTATATAAATGATGATTTCGATTGCTGTAGTTCGTATATGCTGTATAGTATATTCACCTGATCTTCTATATGTAGATGCGTAAATAAACCCTGTTTCTCACAATAGACGTATCTCGAACTCTTTGAGAACTAGAAATACAGTACTGTAGGTAGCGAGAAAAGAAATGGAATCGTCGATTGAAAGAAGGGTCATTTTGAATCTGTAAGCGCTCATTGTATTCCTATATCGAAAGCCCCATCACGTGATCCTAAAATCTGATCAGTCGTATGATTGGAGTCGGATTGTCGGAATCTTAGCTGCAGTCAATACAGCATAATACGAAAAGTAAATTAAACACCGTGATACGGAGTACAATTGAATATTTTGTTACAGTGTGCTTCAGGATCATGTTCCTTCGATGTGATAAACATCACGTGGGAGTACCGCAGACTTCGCCTCTTTTATCCTGTCCATGGCCCGTCATGCAGAAAATTTTTACATTCCTCACTCCATTTGAGGTAATGCGTAGACTTGTTCCGGTATGTCGGGAATTTTTTGAATTACTGAGGGCCGGAGGTATTATTTGGACTCATCTCGATTTCCGTCTTGTTCTTGGCATCTTGAATGTGCCATTCGGGCACCTGGATGACTTCTGCAAAGTTGTTGCTGGGTGAGTGCATAGGTTTCCAAGTGCCCTGTCATTATATATAGTCGTGAGAATTTGAGTCAGTCTTAAATGCATTTGATAACGGACGAAATCCGCCAAATTATCTTCATTTTAGTAGGGGTTCAACTAACAAAGACGACAACCACGAGAGGGAGCGGAGAAATTATTTTAATGATTCTCGTTTTTTAATGGCACTTCAACTTCTAAATGAAACTCAGAATTTGCATGCAGCTTTCGCATGGCTTGTCGAACAAAACTGAATAATTTAATTTTAATTTAGATTTGAACGGGAATTTGCACTGATGGAATTGATCAAACGGACGATTATGGTCGTAATGTACTTTACATCCCTGCGCAAATAATAAAATGCCATCAGAAAACTGTTTTCAGCTGTGGAAAATGTGTTCCAGGAATGACGTAAATGATCATTTTTACATTAGTGTATTGAAACCTCCGCTGTTGAAAGAATTCAAGTTTCTTCAACCACAAAATCGTGTGCAGTGTGTTACGCATTTCTAAAATGGTTCGGCCGCAAATAATATCCTTATATTTTAAAATTTCCTCAGACGCGTTCAAAAACTCACAATGGACTTCAGTATTCCAGATGGAATGAAGGCATTTGTGCCGCGGGATAGTTCGAGATCCTTCTTCAAATATTTTCATTGGGAGAATTTGAAGATGTTGGAGATACTTGCCTTGGAGGACAGTGATGATTCATTCAGAAAATTACTTGTAGAAAATGGGAAAGTGTTCTCTCATTTGGAAAAGCTGTTGATTCATGATCATAAGGAAGGGAATTCGTTCCTGCGTCAGGCATCAACTGGAAAATTGGTGCTTCCTGCTTGTGAACAAGTTACCTTAAAATGTGCGTTGAAGACACTGCGTAATGTGGATATGAGGCTTGTTTTTCCAAGGTGGGTACTGTTTTTAATACTGTTCGGACAATTTTTGAAGGAATGTCGTTTTATATTGTCCTGTCGAAAGGTATTTCAAATTGCGATTTGAACATGAAATGGCTTTTTCTTTCAATTAAACCTTTGCGAGGCTTTCCTGAAATTGATGCTTCACAGATTTTAGGAATGAGATTTCAATCGGTCCCGGAGACAATTAATGCCAATTATATTTTGTTCCTTTCAGATTGAAGGAACTCCATCTGATGAACATTGCATATGTTTCAAACGCATATGCTGGACAGATTCTACACCAGCATGTTCAGTCTCCCACAATCCAGGAGTTTATTGCAACTCTTGGCTCTCAAGTGCTCTCAAGTTTGCATGACTATCATTTACCAGCAAAAATGGATAAGAATAGTTGGACCCTGGCTCAGATAAAGGGTACTTTTATGAACCTTGAGTCTCTGGGCTTGCATGGGGAGTTTTTTGACCATGTGCCTATAGCTGACAAAAATCGCCCAATTATGCTGAACGTAAGGGAGTTTCCATTCTATTGTTATAAAAATATATGGGATACACTGTGAACAGTTTGAACGCATTAGTTCCTATAGCTACGTCAAACCTCCCTAACTTGAATTTACTGTGAATTTGTGATCAATTCTTTCAAGACCAATGTATTTTCAAACCTCCTCAATTCAAGACATTTGGGCCAAACCTCCTGCGGTGGAACATTTTATAAGGTTTTCACATTTTAAACTTGGAGCTACATTTCAGAACACCCATTTGGATAATTGAAAGTCTATGAATAATGAACAGTCATAATAACTAAGCCAAGAAATGAATTTCCTTCATCAACCTTTACAATGAAGTCCAAGTACCCTTCTCATAAACTCCGCAAGTCCAAGATTTTTAGAGTCCCTTTGAATTTTACTTGGAAACGTTCAACTTCAAATATTTTATTGTACCTTCATATTATTTGTTAAGTGATGACCTCACAACCTCTGCTCTATTTAGGCATGTTAGCGTAACCTTGTTTTGCCATTCTTTGTAAGAAGTGAGTTTGCAATTCGCCCAAGTACTGTATACACTTATAATCCTTGAAGCCTGGAACTTTTTAATTCAGAGAAGTATTTTCAGCATGGAACTTCCTTAGGATGAATTTAAAATTTATTGGGAAGTCAATAAACACTATACAGGTTTAAACAAAACACGGTTACTTTGAAATGAATTAATTAATTACCCCTGTACTGTATAGGAGAGGGTGATATTTAATTGAGCAACTACTGTACTATACTTTTTGGCTTCAACGCGTACAGTATATTGAATTATTTTGAACATTGTGATGCATGAATTGCAAAACGTTTCATAATTTGCTTTTCTTCGGCATTGTTGCAGTTGAAATCGCTGTGGCTGAAAGACGTATTTTTAACAAAAGTATTCCAACATTTACGGATGCAAACGTCGCTTGAAAAGCTGTGGATCAGAAATTATCGTTCTCAGGCAACTGAATCCAGTCGGCGAATTTGCCAGGACTTCCTTGACAGCCCCAAACAATGGGTGAAGAATTTGAAATACGTTTCAGCTGATCTCTGGGAGACGTACATTCCCTACGAAAACCTCCACCAATTGGAATGCGTCGCTTTCTTTTTTCGATGCAAAGCCGCAGTGAAATTTGCGAAGAGAGTCTTTGAAAAGCTTCGCAGCTGTTCGAAGCTGCAAGGATTGATTCTTCGTGTACGGGATGATCTTGAGCTGCGAACACTTGACCCATTGCCGCAAAATTTGGAGTTTGCTGCATTTACGGGTACCAATCGTTGCAGTGCAATGGCTGCGCTAGATTTCATCCGACGGAGTCGAGATTCATTGCAGGATCTTTGGATCCAAACGGATCACGTAAAGGTGAGAGCTTGATCCAAAGCTTCACGATTGAATTGTTTTTGCATTGACGAAAAATTCTTGAAAATGATCCGAATCTTTGGTCAGAGCAAGAAGGAATGCAAGAAAATCTCCAAATTGTCCTGACTTTGCCACCGTGATTTGATTAATAGAATCAAAATATCCTGAGAAAAACTGATCTCAACGCAGAACGTGATTTCCTTCAGGTTATATAATAGGACAATTTCAAACCTCTTCCAGACCGTCATAAAATTTCACTTGAAATCCGTAAAAACTTTTGACTATTTGCGAGTAAGCATCTGTGAAATTCAATTTTAAGTGAAGTTCAAAAAGTATTTGCAATACTTCTGAAAATTTTCAAGCTACAGAATTTGAAATTCATAAATTTTCGGGACTATGTAAGAGGAGATAAGATGCCTCTCTTTTAACTTCTATTGATGTAAAAGAAAGACTTCCGAAATGTGGACAAAATTTGCTGAAGTCCATGGATTTTTAGGGTGCAAAATTTTGGATCATTTCGTTTTTTCCTGTCACTTTTACACCACTGTGAAACTTCGTTACGCAAAATGTTCTCTTCAAGGGTCTTTTTTATTTAAGCGCCGTCGGACCTGCTGGGAATGTAATTTAACTTTCATTTATTTTCACGAATTCCACACAGGATCTGGAAGAACTAATTCCAGCCTTGAAGCATTTCAGTCGACTCAAGAATGTCGTGTTTGTGGACTCATATGACGAAGACGGGAATGCAATAAATTGGTTCGAGACCACATTGAAAGAACGGGTTGATCCGACGGGCGCTTTGAAGCAAGTGACGCTGTTTTCTCCGTCAGCAGTGGATTCAGAATTTTATTACTCATCTTGCACCTTCAACACTGCGAAAATGGAAGAGGCTGATTTTTCGTTGGAATTCGTTACCCGATTTTACATCGAATGGCTGAAGTTTATACCAGACAAGGAAGAACTCGGTCAGCTTTCGATACTGGAAGTTATTGACGCCATTTTTCGTTGACGTCATTTGTGCGGTTCGTCGATGTCAAGCGTTTTTCGTATGGCCTTTTTAAAATTTGGGTAATACTGTACCGCATTTCCGTATTGAATATTTCGTCTGCAAATAAAAAAAAATCGTGAGAAACTATGTTGGTCGTTATGTTTACCTGTACTGTACGTATTTGCAACGTTTTGTGAAAACTATTTTCGATAAGCTAAGGAAATACATCATGATAACTTCACTTGAAAATTACAGTGGGTTCCGAGCAATGAAAGCCTTCAGACGATTCGTCTTCCGGACATCCAGAAAATTTTAACTCTTCTCGACTTCCGGAAAGTTTTGAAAATGCACTGTGATTGGTGAAAAATCCTGATGAATGATTGAAGTTGTATATATACTGGCTCAGTTGAGATAGAGCCTTGAAAGATTCTGTCATAAACTATCACATAAAGCAGTGTTTCCCAACCCATGGTCTGCGGACCAGCGCCAGTCTGCAGACATTTTTTGCCTGTACGTGGAAATTTTCAGAATAACAAATGCTATTGCGGACCAAAGGGACACAGCTCCAGCATCCGGCCAAAACCGGACCCCAAAACTTGTAGGATTTCTGAGGCCTGTGAGCCTTGCAAAAATCCCATTTTTGTGAGACTCACTGAGCCTCACTCAAGGACAAGAAGTGGTTTTCACTTCTTAGATTTTGCCTGAATTGGCCAATCCTGAGCCAGGAAGAAATCACCTTATTTCTTCATGACCCAGTCCAAGCACCTGGGTATAAAAACCCTCATTCCTCTTTTGAGAGGAGAAGTCCAGAAGTCAGAAACTAGTGTTACAGGGCCTTTTAACTTTAAATTACCTCATTCATTTGATGGCTGCACAATTCAATTCCTTTGTCTGGGATCCAATGGACCCATGACAAATGCATCAGAAGTTGTATTGAAGTCTGTTAATGTTATCTGATAGTTTGGAAAAAAAGTGGCAGTTGAAATTATCTGATTAAAAGAAGGCTTTTCCCTTAATAATACTCAAGAAGAATTTTTGCCTGCTGAAATAAAGTATTTCCACTTCTTGTTCTGGGAAATTCCAGAACAAAAAGTGAAAATAGTGGAAACCTTTTTTTGAGCCTAGCTTTATAATTTTTTGAAGACATCGCACTATAGCTGCTTGACTGGTTCTTAACTTAATTTTTGAAATAGAAGTTTTGTTTGAAAGGACTCAATGGGAGGCATTTGAGATAATTTTGGTGGTCTGCAAAAATTTTACGGAATGTTGCCAGTTCACAGAAAATATCATGGAAATATGCTGGTCTGCAGAAAATTTGTATGAAAATGGGCTGGTCCGTGGGTACGAAAAGGTTGGGGAACTTGATCAAACTTGCTCTGCTATTCAAAATTTTTGAATCGAAATCACTTTGTGAAACGTTTTTGCAGACTTTTTCAGGTTAAAATTTATTCCACAAAAATATGCATATTGTCATTAAGTTTCTAAAGTTTGGCGTTTCCAGTGTTTAGTATGTGATATGAATTATTTCTAAAATTGTCATGCAACTTATTACTGTTCTAAAATTTTTGAACAGTTGAATTGACGTGTATAGGAAAAGATTTTTCAGAATCTGAACAGTTCCATGTTCGGATTTACTATAAACGTGTTAGTGTATCGTGTTCGAAGCTTTGGTTGCCACTGTGTAATACAGGTGCACGCGTGCATCTAGGATGCTGCAAACTTTTTTGTTTCTAGATTAAAAAGAGTGTTCATGAGTTAAATTTTCGAAAAGTGCGGAGAGAATCATTGGCGTGGCATGAATTGAATTGTTCTGTGAAGTTCTTCGTCAGAAGCCTCGAATCCGGTATGCAGCTCAAATACAACGCGGCCATGCTCAATGGTNAGTTAAATTTTCGAAAAGTGCGGAGAGAATCATTGGCGTGGCATGAATTGAATTGTTCTGTGAAGTTCTTCGTCAGAAGCCTCGAATCCGGTATGCAGCTCAAATACAACGCGGCCATGCTCAATGGTGAATGAACTCCAACTCGTTATTCCGTATTTATTTGGGTAGATGTCGCTCCAAAATCTGGGGAAGATCAGAAAAACTCTGGTATATCGAGCCCCCGAAAGTCAATTCACTTAGAATGTTCATGAAACATTGATAACCTGAGAAATAGCGTATTATTCATGAATAAATCGGAAGATTCCTAGCATTTACGACTGTAATGTAATGCCTCCAATATTCTTTGAAAATGCACTGCGCGAAACGTCCCTCATTTTTTATATAGATGTCGCTGTAGAATTCACGGAAACACAGCAGCTGACGGTTGGTTCTCATCGGAAAAAAGTGACATCTACAGCACCTGAGGATAAGTTTCACGTTCAGGCAGATGCTTCCGTTGTGTGAAATTCTTCGCCTGCCACAGGATTAGTTCTTCCTGTACATGGAAGTACAGTACAGCGGTATAGCTTTTTTTCTAAGCTAGAAACAATTTTTGGAGAAAAGAAAAAATTACGCTCACTCGACTTGCACAGAACAGGCAGATTTGTTTCACAACGGCGATCCCGATGCTTTAATTATGGGCGTAGTTTCCGTGAAGCTTGGAAACGCCCGATAGTATAGAGCTCTTACGTTTCGCAAACCAACACCCAAAAGAATCAAGCATAAATCCTCGTTTTGTATACAGTACAAATGAGCCGCGAGTCTCGGGAAAGATGTCAATATTTTCTAGATTCTTTCCATGTACTGGTGTATTCATCTTTATGTCTGTTCATCATTCTTGCTCAACATCGACTTTTCATTCCATTTCGGCAAATTCCTGTCCAAGCACAAATCCCTTTTCTTCGAAAAAAGAAAGAAAAATAGTTTGGTAAATCGTGAAGTTTTAATTCCAAAATTTTACGCGAAGTGATTTTCTCTTTGCAGGAAATGAAGCAAAGTTGATAAAGATTATGACGGAATGTTTTCCGCACAAGGAGTTATTGCTGGCATCCCGCTTTGAAACCGAATCCTTTTTCCAAGTTTCCCGCAGAAGGTTGTTCAAAGAAAGATTCTGGCAAGTATATTAAGCTAGACTTGTCAGAGGTGTCCTTGACATAGATGGTACTCTTGTTCACAGTCACGACTTGGAGCTTAGGTATTATTGCTCTTCCCAGAACGCTTTAGCCCAAGAAAACCAGGAAAATAGGATAAGGAGCATTTCCTGTATATTCTGATGAAGGTTAGGCAGAGACAAAAGAGGAAGAAAATCTCATCTGCATTTTTTGCCTTTCAACTGTGAAAAGAAAAGCTCATCAACCACAAAAAAATATTACCTTTTTTTTTTACAATGAACTCAACTAAAATGGAAGTGTTGGCTCTACAGGGAAAATTTCATTAAAAGGATTACTGCTCTGAAAATTTTTCTTCATGATGGAAATTTTTTCAAAACCCCAAAAGAAACACAATTTTCAAAAAATTTATAAAAATCTCAATTTTTTCAAGTTTTCTAGATGTAGTTTAACACTTTTATGAAGAATATGCTGCATATAATCCCCAAAAATTGAGTAAATTTTCTCAGGATTTGTATTACTGCCTCTGAAGGAACCAATGCTGAAATAAAAAGGTGGTCCCCAACAATTCAACTCTAGTCTGTTGCTGGGTGAGGGTCAAATTTTGAAGTGGACAAATTGTGAGACAATGTCTAATTTGATGTTTTCTACATAAAATTTGACATTGTGAGTCTCTCTGCAGGTCAAATTGCAGGGCAAGAGGCTGAATTGCAAGTCAATGTCCCAGCAAATTTGATTGTCAGATTCCAAGATGGTTGAATTTTGGGACATTGAATTGTCAGGTACCACCTGTATGGTCTTATATTAATAATGTACAGTATGTATGTTGAGTCATGGGCTAACAAACCCAATTATTCCATGCTTAATGTTTGTTGGTTGGAGTGTTTGTAAGACAGATTAGAACAATACCAGCCCAATCCTTGGGAATATTGCAAGTGTTTGCCCCAGACATGTTTGTAAGCTGAATCCCTACTTGTAAATTCATTGCAGGAATTTTGAAAACATTAAGTTTGTTGGCTGGAAATTAAAGTTCAATATTTAGTGAGACATTTGGAAGCCAAGACTCAACTGTCTTTTTAATACTGTAATTTCATTTGAAGATTTTTTTATAATTATGTTTTGACAAACTTAATAATTTAGGAAACTGACAATGCTTTGGTAAATTCAGAAAAAAAAACACTCAAGATTAAAACAATAAACCTCTCATTTTAGAGCAATTTTTCCAGTTTTTTCACTTCAGACTGTCAATTAAAAGCATTATTAGTTCAAACTACAGTATAGTACTGTACTCTTTTTAATTGCTTTTGGTCTCTGTGAGTTTACTGAAACTTGATTTTACCTGTATTTGATAGAGAAGTAAAATTGCATGCAGATAACACAACTGTATGAGCCTTTGAGTGCTTTGAAGATGATGAGAAAAATAAAATTGGTTATCCTATTTATATATTGTACTCACCAGTAATAAAAATTAAATCAGGGTTTAATGTTCTCTTCACATACAATACCACACATGACATGAAGTGGAACTGTGACTGATGAGATCTGCTTACTACTGTACTTCAGGCAATGTCCTCTATACTCAAGAGTCTGAACTTTTGGACCATCCCTTTTAATACTATCTTTCTCCATGAGTAGCTTGAGTTTGCATCCACAAACAACAAGAACCAACTGCCTCAAACTCTCACTCACTCAGTCACTCAGAAAGGCACTGGCTTCGATTAACTCTATCAGCAACAGAGATTAGAAACTCCGACACTGGTTCTCCTTCTTCCCATGGGTTTCAATTACACTTGGCTTTTTTTTTTGATGCATCATGGCACAAGTGCATGACGTTGATAGTCGAGCCCTCTTCCGGATTTGGGAAGGGAATACAATTTTTGTGTTTTTCATCCACGCAAACAAGGTTATGGATGCACCAATCCAAAGATGTCTGTATTTAATCAATGTCGCAGACTGATTCCTGTATATATGAACTCACAATATTTATTGTTTTAATTGATACACCTTTGACAATTGTTAGAAATTTTGGTTGTTGTAATGCTGCATTACCTTCATCTCAGTCTCTCATTTAATTAAAATTCCATGGAATTGATTTTTACTGTATTTGAATTTACAGCAACATCTTGTGACAAACTAGAAGATAACTGATGAGGGAAAATTGTATTGCAAAGATTTTTGTTATTTTGAGCCTAAGGGTTTTTAGTTTATGTATGTTTTATGTAAGGATTTACATTTGATTTGTATTCATAGAAGGAAAAATTTGAGTATTTAAAGGCTTGCATTCTCCTAAAGGTAATTTCCCACAAAATAAAAGACCCTGTTGGATAAAATTGAAGATGATTTGAGCTTGATTTCTCACAAAAGGAAATAAAAAGACAGACAGTCAGGGTTTTGAGGCCAAGAAAACAAATTCAAGAGATCACATTGAATATAAGTTTCTAGTTTTCCATTTATGTTTTATTCAATATTTTCAGTGAAGAAAAACAAGAATTCTTTGAATCCAATAGAGGAAATTCACACACCAGATTTCACCAAGCAAATCAGTAGTAGAAATAAAGGAGAAGATTGTCCTTTAGGAGTTCAGGAGAGACTGCTTTTAAATTTAAAATAAGAATGAGCTTTTATTATTTTCTTGGAATTTTCTGGTCAGGTGAGCTGATCAGAAAATTCCAGAATATTCTAATAGATTTCCTGGCCTCTGATTGGTCAAAATCATAAAAAATCAAAGAAATCTTTGTACTCATTTTCATCTAATGCACAAGGAAAACTTTATCAGGTTCCTCTCCTCATTTCTTCTCAACAGATGGAGTCAATTTTACATCAATCATATATTAAAACTACACTATATTTTACAATTTTCTATGTCTATATTCATTTTCATTTATTATTGACATTTCTCATCAATGGTTTCTTAAAAGTACCATATTTACTTAAGCATCCTGTGGGCATTAAAAATATAAGACAATTTGAGAGCATGTCATAATGAAATAAACAATATTTGTGAAAAAATGTCTTGTGCTCAATGTCAACTTCTGAATTATTATTAAACCACAGAAAACCCAATGTGAATTGAAAGTAATTTTACTTGAGGTTCTTATTCCAGCCTGAATTCATGTATTTTGTTTCCATACATATTCATGATATACAGTATTGAAATTTCTGGCCTCTGAAAACTGGGGTGGGTTATGTTTTGTCTTACAACTTGTATTTAAAAAAGGCAGGTGCACATATTCTTACATAGGAGGGCATGTTAATTGCATGAATGCAGTGAATCTGCAATTTTTTTGTAGGTCACTGTAAATTTTCTTCTCATTATTATTATTTTTTTAATGATGATATGGTCTGGATTCTGAGGAGTTCTTATATTGGCGTTCTGCTGGATGAATCCACTTGACGGTCTTGGGGAAAGATTGATGTTGTCGCTGAGAGGTTATGAAGTATCGTGAGACCAATTATGGTTGTGGGCAGGAGATGGGAATAATTCCCAGGGAAGCGGTTTGAACTCAAGAATTGGTTTAGAATGTGGAGCAAAATTTTGCTCATTTTTTTTTCTGGAGTAATGTTGTGGAGAAGGATTTAAGAAAGTCCTTTTTTAGGGTTATGTGTGGAGGCAAACCAGCTGAATCTAAGGAATGAAATACAGTCAACCTCCACACAATGGACTTGATTTGTGCCACAGATTACTCTGTTGCATGAAAAGTCTGTTATGTGAATTGAATTATTCAAAAAATCAAAATTTAAAATTTTTACCATTCATTTTAAACCAATGGAAGTCTGTTTTATGTGGATCTAGTTCATTGAACAGGAGGGAAAACTGCCTCCATCAGAGGTGGTCTGTTCTGCAGGGGTGGACTGTATTTAAATATCCAAGGACAAGGTTCACCACTTTACAGAAGGGGAATATTGAAGAAATTTCTCAGTCTTAGTTTTTACTTTGATTCAATTGCAGGTGAAATAAATGTTGTGGAGAAGGATTTAAGAAAGTCTTTTTTTTGGGTTATGTGTGGAGGCAAACCAGCTGAATCTAAGGAATAAAACACAGTCAACCTTCACACAATGGACTTAATTTGTGCCACAGATTGACTCTGTTGCATGAAAAGTCTGTTATGTGAATCCAATTATTAAAAAATAATTTTTTTACTTTTTACCCTTAATTTTAAACCAATTGAAGTCTGTTATGTGGATCTAGTTCATTAAACAGGAGGGAAAACTGCCTCCATCAGAGGTGGTCTGTTGTGCAAAAATCTGTTGTTTGGGAGGTCTGTTGTGCAGGGGTTATTGACTGTATTTAAATATCCAAGGACAAGGTTCACCACTTTACAGAAGGGGAATATTGAAGAAAGTTCTTAGTCTTAGTTTTTACTTTGATTCAATTGCAGGTGAAATGTCATCACAACAAACTTGTATAAGGGATGACCCATGTAATAATGACAAAAATGTTTTTTTGTTAAGGTGCCAATAATGAACTGAAATGAAACATTTTCTTAGTGAATAACATCATCGTCATATTCAATTTAAAATGAAAGGAATTACCAATCAGTATTTTTCCCGGAAGTCCATTAACCAAGGCACCCCTGTCTAAAAAAAAAATAAATAAATAAAATCTGCCCGCGCGGGACAAGTCAAAGAGCCGGACTTGCTATAATTTCCTCTTGTTCAGCAGCAGCGGTATTTGCTCTCTCTCTCTCTCTCTCTCTCTCTCTCTCTCTCTCTNTATGGTCTGGATTCTGAGGAGTTCTTATATTGGCGTTCTGCTGGATGAATCCACTTGACGGTCTTGGGGAAAGATTGATGTTGTCGCTGAGAGGTTATGAAGTATCGTGAGACCAATTATGGTTGTGGGCAGGAGATGGGAATAATTCCCAGGGAAGCGGTTTGAACTCAACTATTGGTTTAAAATGTGGAGCAAAATTTTGCTCAGTTCTTTTTTTTCTGGAGTAATGTTATTGTGGAGAAGGATTTAAGAAAGTCCTTTTTTGTGGTTATGTGTGGAGGCAAACCAGCTGAATCTAAGGAATGAATACAGTCAACCTCCACACAATGGACTTGATTTGTGCCACAGATTACTCTGTTGCATGAAAAGTCTGTTATGTGAATTCAATTATTCAAAAAATCTTTTTTTTTTACTTTTTACCCTTAATTTTAAACCAATTGAAGTCTGTTATGTGGATTTAGCTCATTGAACAGGAGGGAAAACTGCCTCCATCAGAGGTGGTCTGTTGTGCAGGGGTGGACTGTATTTAAATATCCAAGGACAAGGTTCACCACTTCACACAAGGGGAGTATTGAAGAAAGTTCTCCGTCTTAGTTTTTACTTTGATTCAATTACAGGTGAAATAAATGTTGTGGAGAAGGATTTAAGAAAGTCTTTTTTTTGGGGTTATGTGTGGAGGCAAACCAGCTGAATCTAAGGAATGAAATACAGTCAACCTTCACACAATGGACTTGATTTGTGCTACAGATTAGTCTGTTGCATGAAAAGTCTGTTATGTGAATTCAATTATTCAAAAAATCAAAATTTTAAATTTTTACCATTCATTTTAAACCAATGGAAGTCTGTTTTATGTGGATCTAGTTCATTGAACAGGAGGGAAAACTGCCTCCATCAGAGGTGGTCTGTTGTGCAAAAATCTTTTGTTTGGGAGGTCTGTTGTGCAGGGGTTGACTGTACAGTATTTAAATATCCAAGGAAAAGGTTCACCACTTTACAGAAGGGGAATATTGAAGAAAGTTCTTAGTCTTAGTTTTTACTTTGATTTAATTGCAGGTGAAATAAATGTTGTGGAGAAGGATTTAAGAAAGTCTTTTTTTTGGGGTTATGTGTGGAGGCAAACCAGCTGAATCTAAGGAATGAAATACAGTCAACCTCCACACAATGGACTAAATTTGTGCCACAGATTACTTTGTTGCATGAAAAGTCTGTTATGTGAATTCAATTATTCAAAAAAATCAAAATTTTAACTTTTTACTATCCATTTTAAACCAATGGAAGTCTGTTTTATGTGGATCTAGTTCATTGAACAGGAGGGAAAACTGCCTCCATCAGAGGTGGTCTGTTGTGCAAAAATTTGTTGTTTGGGAGTTCTGTTGTGCAGGGGTTATTGACTGTATTTAAATATCCAAGGACAAGGTACACCACTTCACACAAGGGGAATATTGAAGAAATTTCTCAGTCTTAGTTTTTACTTTGATTCAATTGCAGGTGAAATGTCATCCACAAAAAACTTGTATAAGGGACCCATAAAATAATGACAAAAATGTTTTTCTGTTGAGGTGCCAATAATAAACTGAATTGAAACATTTTCTTAATGAATAACATCATCGTCATATTCAATTTAAAATGAAAGGAATTACCAATCAGTATTTTTCCCGGAAGTCCATTAACCGAGTCACCCCTGTCTAAAAATAAAAAATAAAAATAAATCTGCCCGCGCGGGACAAGTCAAAGAGCCGGACTTGCTGGTGAGTACAATATATAAATAGGATAACCAATTTTATTTTTCTCATCATCTTCAAAGCACTCAAAGGCTCATACAGTTGTGTTATCTGCATGCTTCCTCTTTCGTTCTTTCCTTCTTTCTGTAATTTATTTATTCATTCATTTTTTTTTTGCTTTCCTCCCGCGCGTGCGCTTCCGTCACCATATAAGGCAACCAGCGAGCTTCGGGGAACGGCCGGCCTCATTAGGGGCACCGGAGTATCCCTTACCTTTTCTGTACATCTCGTTTGCGAAAGGCGATTCGAGGGGTCTAACGAAAGTTCTGGGGGAAATGAATCAGGTGGGGAAAAAAAGGCTTTTGTTCAGAAAAACAGCTTTCTTCTCACACATTTATTTTTTATTTTTTTGTGTGGCCCAGCTTCTCGGGAAGTTTTCGGGATAGAAATTGAAATGCGTGTAATAAAGTTGAACTGAAAAATTAGTATTATTATTCAGAAAAAAAGAAAAAAAATTCTTTCGATTTTTTGTTGCAGCCCGGCTTCTCAAGAATTCTGCAAAGCAAAAGTTTCTATTGATAGAAATTTTCATGGTATATTATTACCCTTCACAGTAAATTACAGTATCTTATTTTTTTGTGATGGGACACCAAAAAATCTGCAAAAATAGGCGCCTCATCTGTTGAATGAAGAGCAGAAATTAATAAGCTGCCAGAGGGCGACTTTTGCAACAAGAAAAAAAATATGATATTTTCTTATCCACAGAATGTTCTTTCCATTTATTTTTCAGCTCAATGGTTTGCCATTTCAATTTATATTCCAAGAACATTTTTTATAGACCCCTGGTTCACAGCATACTATATAGTGGATGGGCAGCATGCAGTTTTAGTTCCTGGTTTCTCTTTTCCATGATTCCTCTCTTCCCTTCAACTGCTTATTAATCCCAATTCAATCAAATCTCATGTCTTTTATTTTTTTTATTTTTGAGTATATCTCTCATTTCCTGTGTATACTATATATGTGCAGTATATATAGGGAAGCGAAACTGACTGGTGCTGGTGCCCAAGTTTGGGTATGTTGTGGTTCTCCTCCTCCTCCTGCTGCTGCTGTTGGGTATAGGCTTATATGTACATACAAGGGTTCTAACAAAAGTTCTCAGAGTAAAAATGAAAATGGCATATAATGGAACTGAAAAAAATGTATTCTTCAGGGAAAACATATTCTTTGGCACACACAGAAAAATCAGCCCGGTTTGACAAATTTTTTTAAAATTTTTTTGCAAAATGAATCCCAATAGAGTTTTGCTCTCTACTCAAAAGATGAGGCGCCCTTTTTTTATTGTGGCCCATCTTTCCCCTCAGAATTTTTGAAATCAACTCAACATTCTTACTAAGGGTTGCCTCCAGGTCATCCAAGGCAATTCCGCCATTTTCATCAACAGCCGCCACTTTGGCGGCTGTTGATGAAAATGGTGGAATTACCTTAGATGACCTGGAGGCAACCCTACGCATGAATGCCACGTTGATTTCGAGAATTCTGAGGGGAAAGCTGGGCCACAATAAAAAAAAGGGTGCCTCATCTTTTGAGTGGAGAGCAAAACTCTATTGGGATGCATTTTGCAAAAAGATTTTTAAAAAAATTGTCAAACCAGGCTGATTTTTGTGTGTGTGCCAAAGAATATGTTTTCCCTGAAGAATACGTTTTTTTCAGTGCAATTGTACCCAGTTTTCATTGCTACTCCGAGAACTTTTGTTAGAACCCTCGTATATGCGGGTTTAATGGGATCACCAGGTAGTAGTGGACGACGCCCCCCTTTTTCCGCCACTGCGATTATATCTGGGTTTGATTAAAATTCACAGAGCTTTTATTGTTGTTCTTTTTTTTCTTTGGTCTCTTGTGTATATACCGCCCTTGTGTGATGTAAACTGGGTTGTAACCATTCAGACAAGCATCCAAAGTCCATGGGAGGGGATTGATTGACATGGAGATGGTACAGAACATTTGAGGATCTAAAATAGTACTGTACACCATGAGAAAATAGTGTAGGATCAGGAGAATGTGTATCAAATGTAAGCTTAATGTAAACAGAAGTAAAAAAAAGAGGCTTGAGTCAGTATCATAGGTTGAGTTTTAATAAGTGGGCTTTTTGTCCTCATACCAAGAGTTTAGAGTTTCAGTTATATCTGGCTTCTGTGAATGAAAATGTGTAATTTTCTTGGGATCAACAATTTTTTCTTAGATCACTTGAGCACACAATTGATGCCCCCTTTTTTGCCACAGCAATCATAACTTTGCTTTATTAAAATACACAGAGCTTTTTTTATTTGGTCTCTTGTATATACCAAACTTGTGTGATGTAAACTGGGTTGTAACAATTCAGACAAGCATCCAAAGTCCTGGGAGGGGATTGATTGACATGGAGATGGTGCATTTAAGGATCTAATATAGTACTGTACACCATGAGAATATAGTAGGATCAGGATAATGTGTATCAAATGTAGCTTGATGTAAAAAGAAGTTTTAAAAAATTTGAGTCAGTATACAGTCAACCCCAACAGGACAGAAATCCCGCAGTAAGTATATTTTTTGCAGAACAGACTGCCTCCAGAGGCAGGTTTTCCTCTCCCAGAGCAGACAAAATTCACAGAACAGACTTCATTATCTAGAAGTGCAGGCTGCCAAGTGGATGTGAGTCCCTCAGTTCCACTGCAGAAGTTGCAGAACATTCTTTTCACATAACAAACTAGTCTGTTCTGCAGGGGTTGATTGTATTATGGGTTGACTTTTAATAAGTGGGCTTTTTGTCTTCATACCCAAGAGTTGCAGTTATATCTGGTTTCTGAGGATGAAAAGGCATGATTTTCCTGAGATAAATTTTTTTTTTCTTATGAGATCACTTGAGTACACAATTGATGCCCCCTTTTTTGCCACAGCAATCATAACTTTGCTTGATTAAAATATACAGAGCTTTCTTTTATATTTGGTCTCTTGAACTTGTGTGATGTAAACTGGGTTGTAACAATTCAGACAAGCATCCAAAGTCCTGGGAGGAGATTGATTGACATGGAGATGATGCATTTGAGGATCTAAAGCAGTACTTTACACCATGAGAATATAGTAGGATCAGGAGAATGTGTACCAAATGTAAGCTTAATGTAAACAGAAGTAAAAAAAAAGGCTTGAGTCAGTATCATAGGCTGACTCTTAATAAGTGGGCTTTTTGTCTTCATACCAAGAGTTTCAGTTATATCTGGTTTCTGTGAATGAAAATGTGTAATTTTCTTGGGATAAAATTTTTTTTCTTAGGAGATCACTGGAGCACACAATTGATGCCCCCTTTTTTCCACAGCAATCATAACTTTGCTTGATTAAAATACACAGAGCTTTCTTTTACATTTGGTCTCTTAAACTTGTGTGATGTAAACTGGGTTGTAACAATTCAGACAAGCATCCAAAGTCCATGGGAGGGGATTGATTGACATGGAGATGGTACAGAACATTTAAGGATCTAAAATAGTACTGTACACCATGAGAATATAGTAGGATCAGGAGAATGTGTATCAAATGTAAGCTTAATGTAAACAGAACTGAAAAAAAAGGCTTGAGTCAGTATCATAGGTTGACTTTTAATAAGTGGGCTTTTTGTCTTCATACCCAGAGTTGCAGTTATATCTGGCTTCTGTGAATGAAAATGTGTAATTTTCTTGAGATAAAAATTTTTTTCTTAGATCTCTTGAGCACACAATTGATGCCCCCTTTTTTCCACAGCAATCATAACTTTGCTTGATTAAAATTTACAGAGCTTTTTATTGTTCTTTTTTATTTGGTCTCTTTATTGTAAACCGCCCTTTTGTAGCACTGTAGTGCAAATTGGGTTGTAGTAATTCAGACAAGCATCCAAAGTCCAGGGATGAGGGGAATGATTGAAATGGAGATGGTGCATTTGAGGATCTAAAATACTGTAGTACTGTTCAGTGAGAGATACCAATCTTGAACACAACTTTATTGCACTATCTCTCCCACAGATCTACAAGGACGCAACCCTAACGCCAACTGGGAAAAACATCCGCCGGAAAGGGCAATGGCACCTAACGGACCCCGCTGCCAAAAAAGACAACAAAACCTAACGGAACCGATGTCACCTACACGGACACATAAGGACGACCCCAAATGGAAGACTTCACTTCAGTCCAAACCTTCACACCAACCACGTCTCCTTGCTGTCCCATGTATCTTGTGTCTTGTGCATAAAAACCCTTCTGTGTCCTTGTCAAAACCAACCACCTAACAAAGAAAATATACTCTTGCGTTTACGTGTACATCATCTACCGATACCAACACTTACTGGGGGCTCGTCCGCCAACCTACAACACCAAACCCGATCACAACCATCACCATGCCTAGGGATATGGAAACGTCCAAGGCTGCCAAGCAGGCAGCCCTTGAACTGGCTCAGATCCAGTCCGCATGCGCAGCATCCCTTGGACAGCCACTGGAGCACTCAAGTCCACCTGTGGAGAATGCCGCATCCCACACGTCCTCACACACGCTGGGCAGGCCACCCAGTGTGATCTCCTCCACATCAACGCCGCATCCGTGGGACTTCATCTCCTTGACGACGCTTCAGTGCTTCACTGAGGCCTACATGGCCAACCGTCCACCAACTACGGAGAAACCAAGCTATATCACACTGCTCAAAAACCTGAACATCTTGCCGGTAACCCTCCTAATGTTCCAGATATCCCACGCAGATACTGCAACATCAGCCAGCCCTCCAGGTCCCTGCATACCGCCACTGCCGTTGTGGTGCGTCCACAACCACCGTGCACCGGACCTCCCAAAGCAGGACAGTGACAAGGACTTTGAGGACTACGCCATCCGTCTACAGAAACTCCTGATCCTGTTGACGACAACAACAAGGTGGCTGACGGGCACATTGCAGACAAACTCTGTGCAAAACTCAACACAAAGCTGGACATCCAGTGGGATGAACTTGTGGACCTTGCCAACAGCATTTGCAACCTGCTCGACAAACAATCAGACAGCACCACCACAGCAACGATGCCCACAAAAACTTGGACGGACCGCCAACCCTGCGCCACACTGGGCACCAAGCTGTACTGTGACTGGCACCGCTCCCAGGGGCACACCACAGAAACCTGCCAAGCACGTTTTCAGGAAACCAAACACCCAGCCTACACCAAACAGGACCGCAACGACAAGGAGAAGCCGGACACAGCCCTGGCCAGCACCAGAAATACCACAGCCAGCAGCGTTCTCCCGTGCCCCTCCTGCCAGAAAACAGGACATCACGCCAAAGAGTGCCCTTAACTGAAGGGAAACGGGCGGAGGGAGTAGTGACAGCAGCGCTCTGCTCTCTCACCACTGCAACCAACGCCTCTGACCCCATACTCCTACAAGTTGCCGTCGGCAACCACCAGTGTGACGCCATGATCAATACAGTTGCCTCCCACTCATTTGTGGAACAACAATGGGCAACAATGCATGGCCTCCCGCTGCTCCCAACCTACATCAACATCTTGACGGCCAACACATCCAACATCCGCATCACGGACATGGTGCAGGTGGACCTGCTCATACACGACAAGCCCTACCCCACCACCCTATGGGTCCTGCCGCGCGCAGCACACCCTGTCATCATGGGCCGGGACCTATTGGGACAACTGCCCATCACCATTGGACTCAACAGCAACCGACTCTACGTCTGGTACAGATTCCACGCCAAACGCCGTGCTACTCCGAGCATTGCAACCAGCCAGGGCATCACGTTCATTGATGGGACCTGCAAAGAACAGGACAAGATCCGCCAAATTCTGGTGCAACACCAGGACGCAGTGTTCCAGTGGTAGGGAAGGCACGGCTGCCTCCCTGAATACACCGTCACCCTGGAGACAACGACAGCCGCCCCGCCTGCATCACCGCTTTTCCAACAGGCACCAGATAAGTTGGCCCTCTTCAAGGAGATCATCGCTGACTATGTGGCCGCAGGGATCATCAAACCCGCAACATCCCCGTACAACTCCCCGGCATTTCTCACGCCAAAAAATTCTGGACGCGCCAATGCACCCACTACCAAATGATGGCAACTCATTGAGGACTACAGGAAGATCAACATGCTGCTGGTCCCCGACAACTACTCAATGCCAATTATACAGGACCTTGTCAATGCGCTGGGACGCTGCAAGGCCTACTTCTGCACCATCAATCTCCACAACGCATTCCACCATCTTCCAATAGTGCCACAGGACCGCCCAAAGACCGCCTTTTCCACCCCCCAGGGGCAGATGCAATACTCTGTCCTCCCGTTTAGACAACGCAATTGGGCCAGCCCTGTTTCAACGGGCCATCAATTCAATTCTGCACCCACACCTACTCACAAAGTGCCTGGCGTACATTGACAACATCATTGTCTTCGGCAAAACGTTCAAATCCGTCTGCCAGAACCTTCAGGATGTACTCACTGCCCTGGACAACTCAGGGGCATCCATCGACATCAACACGTCCCTGTTCCTGGCCCAACACATTGAATTCCTGGGTCTTGTCATCAACCAAACGGGGGCCTGGCTGGCCCCCCACAATCTTGATGCTGTCAAACAGTACCCGCGGCCAAGCACCATGAAAGAGATGCATTTTTTTGGGACTGGCTACGTACTTACGGGCCCACATTCCACTCAACTTTGCGACGGCTGAGAAAGTGCTGTGGAGCACCATCCCTGCCAAACCAAGCAGGACGCTGCGCTGGGACGCCCCCGCTACCCAAGCCTTTCTGAACCTGAAACAGGGCATTGCACGCGCAGCAAGCCTGGAGCAATACAACAAAGCGCAGCCCATCAAAGTCCATACAGACGCATCTGCCCCTAGCCTGGGCGCGGTCCTGGTCCAGATCCACCCCAACACCAGGCCCGCCATCATCCAGTATGCCAGCCATGTGCTCACCAACGCGGAGACCCAGTACACCAATACAGAACACAAACTCCTGGCCATGGTCTGGGCTGTGACGAAAAAATTCAGGCACTACTTGGAACACCGCGCATTCCATATGATCACCAACCACCAGCCCCTACTGGGCAAGCTCAAATCCTTGCGCCTGATACGCCTGCAGATGAAACTTGGCCAGTACCAGGGCAAGATGGAATACTGGCCAGGGGTATTGCTCCAGGCACCCGATGCACTTAGCAGAGTCTCTATCCTTGCAGCGGACCTACGCACCACCGTCCACCTGGGCCAAACTTGCAAAGTTATTGAACAATACCACCAGGAGTTGGGTCATGCAAATTGGAAAAAAGTGCTACAAACGCTCTGTGCACGGTTCACATGGCCACACATGCACCACACAATTTGGCGGCAACTTCTGGATTGCCCGGAGTGCTTTACATACAACAATAGCTCCGAAATCACAGGGGAAAAGATGTAAGGACTCCCTGTTGCCAAACCATTTGATCGCCTATGCATAGATTTTTACGGGCCACTTCCGTGCTCCACCAAATGACACAAGTACGCGTTTGTTGCTATCAACCAGTACTCCAAGTTCCTGACAGGCATCCCGGTGCTACGAGCAGACACCAGCATGACCATCAACAAGATCCACACCATCTTTCAGGACGTGGGGAAATTCTGCACAATTCACTCCAACAGGGCTGCAGTTTTCAAATTGCAAGCTTTCCGCCAATTTCTGACACAGGCCAGCTGCAATCAGCACATCCCCCAGGGCAACCACCCCAAGGGCAACAGAACATGCAAACGGGCCATCCGGACCATTGGCCAAATCCAGGCCAAACTCGCAAAGGGCAACTCTAAAAATTTGGACCAGTACTTACCTACATTGGTGGTGGCATACAATCTCATGCCGCATACAACCACCGGCACAATGCCCAGTGAACTCTTCCAGGGCAAGCCGCCACGACTTCATGCAGACGAACAATTTGGCGTGGACACGCCCGCAACAGTTGATCTACCGGCCATCCAACGGCATCTCCAACAACAGCAGGCACAGGTCCTCCAACAGGCCAACTGCAGCAAACACCCAATTTTCCAACCAGGCAACATGGTAGCGGTTCAACCACGTATGGCTTCCACCGATATCCACACTGCATCTCGACATTCCAAAAAAGGAGACTCGAACCCTTCATGATCATCCAGCTCCACACGCCCGGACGATGCGCAGTGGGTGTTGATGCACGGATAGCCCTACTCCCAGCCTGGGAGCTCCAACCCTGGGCCCACGGACCAAGGGCGCCCCAGCCCGGCTACAACAAACACCTGACAAACCTACGCCCACCGGCGCCACAGCCGCCACCTGACATCATGACAGAACACCACTGCGTGTGCAGCGGCAATGACACAGTGACAACGGCAGAGGTTTGCAAGCACCTTTATTGCACGGCTGCCCTCAACCACACACGGGGGCCATGCCTACTAACCGGGGCCAACAACCCCGTGGCAATGACCCCGGGCCCGCCAGCCCAAATTGGCAACAGACAATTGGCAACAAGCATCTCTTGGGGGGGGGGGGGGAGAGTGAGAGATACCAATCTCAAACACAACTTTATTGCACTATCTCTCCCGCAGATCTACAAGGATGCAACCCTAACACCAACCGGGAAAAACATCTGCTGGAAAGGGCAACGGCACCTAATGGACCCTGCCACAGAAAAAGACAACAAAACCTAAGGAAACCAAGGTCACCAACTTGGACACATAAGGACGACCCCAAACGGAAGACTTCACTTCAGTCCAAACCTTCACACCAACCACGTCTCCTTGCTGTCCCATGTATCTTGTGTCTTGTGCATAAAAACCCTTCTGTGTCCTTGTCAAAACCAACCCCCTAACAAAGAAAATATACTCTTGCATTTACGTGTACATCATCTACCAATACCGACACTTACTGTTCATCACCATGAGAATAAAGTAAATCATGATAATGTTTATCAAATGTAACTTGATGTGAAAAGAAGTAAGACAATTCAAGTCTGTACAGGTTGACTTTTAATAAGTGGGCTTTTTGTCTTCACCAAAAGTTGCAGTTGTATCTAGTTTCTGTGAATGAAAAGGCATAATTTTTCTGAGAAAAAAATGTTCTTCCTTATGAGATCACTTGAGCACA